CATCTGGCAGGCAGCTCGGAGGGAGCAAAAACGTGGAGACCCTGGGGGTTCCCGCGGACCGGATTGGGAAACTCTGGCCTATGCCGCACTCTAGATAGATGGACAAACACATGGTGTACGGTAGCTTAACTTGGAACCAGATTTCCTGTGTGTCCAGTTGAAATCGTGTGACAGAACAGAAACGATCTGTAAACCATAGGTGGAAAGTTCAGATCCAGAAAGTAAAAATCAGACCAAGATTTTGTTTCAACCAGCCAGTTGAGTATAAAGGAGTATAAGGAGTCACAGTCACAGAGTACTCAACTGGTTGGTTGAAATAAAATCTTGCTCTGGATTTTTACTTTCTGGATCTGAACTATCCACCTCTGGCATTTGCAATTATCTAGAATACATAAGGATATAACTTGTTTTCCATAGCAATCACTTTGCTAGCCAAGGTAAACCTTTACAGTCTTTATAGTAAAAGGGAGGATGGAAACATTTAACTAACATCAAACATTTTATTAAGGAAAAACCTGGATTAAACCACAAAAACTGAAAACCACAAACACAGAAAATCCAAAATATTGTACCTGTGACACCATATCTCTTCCAGTTCTCCCAGCTGACCCAGTATAACCCTCACTAATTAATCCAATTAGGGCCAGCTATGCTTCGTTAACTGTTTTCTTGTGAGCAGGCAAGTGGCTTGTGGTGATCAATCGCCATGGTAATGCAAAGGATAGCATGGGCCATTGTTGTCCTTTCCATTGGGTAAAAGTAAATTTATATAATTTACAGATAATGACTCTGTAGAACCAGCGAACATTTTAAATGCCACTCTTGCCTTTGGCATTATAATGTCAGCTATATAATGAGTTACAGAGAGCCATGATAGGTTTGGTAATTTGATTTTGCAAATGTACTAAAATTTGTAAAATCATAAAACTCCAAGTTGGTCACCATTGATCACACTTATAAATATTTTACTAGAAATAGTCACTATACTTATTTTTAGCTCATTCTTATTTTTCTATTAGGTTTTTCTTATCCTAGCTATGAACTATTATCCATGATCAATGTGTCAATGATGGAAAATTCAAATTCTTGTTTTATTACACGAATGACACCAGCATCACATAGTTAAAATTCCTAAACATTGTAAACACAAGGAACTGTGAAATAACCTAATTTTAGTCTTATTCTCCTATTAAGGCATTATTGTCAGTTTCATTGGCAATGGCACCAAGAATATGCGTACCATTCGGTTTAATAATACATGCTCTGATAAATATAATTTCAGTGCTGAAGGATCAATTTTGCCGCATTAACATATTTCATTAAATGCAGCAACAACCTTAATGTTCAGACAACGGTGCAAATAAATATTGTAACAGGTTACAGGTTGCTCATTGATAGGCTGCAGCAGTGAGAGGGAATACACTTGATCCATTTCCTGTGCCAGACTAGTTGATTGTAGCTATGAAAAGAGGAAAAAGTTGATGGAGACATTTATCAAAGCAATATGTCAATTACCTTATGTCTCTGAGCAGACATTAGGTATGCACAGAACAGAATAATTATGGAATGGGGGCAACATAATGACAGTGAAATAAAGATAGAGAACGTCACTGAAAGAGTAAAATTAGTACTAGTGTAATACACCAGTCTCTGGTACCTATTTCTGCACCAGACAGGTAACTACAGTGCATGAAACTCAGATGTGCTGTATGTGAACAAAGGTCATCAGATTGATTTAAATACTTTTTTGCAGAGCATTGGCAAGTACGAATTGTGATGGAAAAAAATTTAATAGCCATGAGAAGATGTAATGAAAATCATATGGACAGAATAATATGGGTAATATGGGTTTATTAACTGAGATGTCATGTTAGGTGATTATGAGTGTTCCACTAATTAACACATTATCAAACTAAAATAATGCGTTCTCACTTGGAACAGACAGAGGCAGCTGTCCTGCATCCGGACTCCTGAGTGACGTAACTGAAATCCTGGAGCTGCTGTTAATGATGCTGATAAAAAAAGGGGGCAATGAAAAGATTCCCGGGCTTCGACGAACACCAGCCTAGCGGAAGGTTTCTGTTCTCCTGCATGGAGACTCAGCCTCTGCCGCACAGTCAGAAAGTAGCACTAAGGGCAGCAAATAGGTATGAGGAAGAGAAACAGGCAAAAAAAACCCACAAAACATAGATCATACTCAGTGAACGGACATCAAAACACTGTATGCTCTATGTATAAATGGTTAAATATGGGTAAATGTTTTGTTGTGATGGTATGGTATGGTATAGTATGATATGATTGGCTGCAAAAGTAATAATCACACAATTTTGCCCTCAGTATCAGTATCAAATAGTATCAACTTACTTAAGCCAGTCAAATGGCACAGTTTATATGTGCATAATTAGTACTATATATTTACTGAAATAGTGTTTTTTCCTCAGCCTGATGCACTCCATGCTGCGAATGAGCTTTTATTTCTGGGTACAGACCTGCCGGCCATCCCATAGACCTAACTGGCCCCAGAAGGCCACACCAATACAAATTTTCTGCAGGCACCACTGTTTTCTAGGTATTTCTCAAGAAATACTGTTACTCCTGTAATGAAAATTCTCTGTTGTTACACATTTTGGCGCTAGAAGTGGTTTTCAGCCCTTTTCATTCATTTTCAGAGATCAGCCAAAATTTTCCATATGAATGTTTTCGAAGAGAAGCCAAAATGCTGATCCGCTGGCCAAGTGTGCAGACATGGATCCGCAGGGCCTGGGTACGGCAGTGGCAGCCCTGCTAGGCAGGAAGACATGAGAAAAGATAAAACATGGTTAGCCTCAGCATGGTTAGCCTCGGCATGGTTAGCCTCGGCATGGTTAGCCTCGGCATGGTTAGCCACAAGGCTTGCAGTCCAGCTAAATCTATCATCTCCTTCAGTTTACCCTCCGTACTTTGGATATGAGTTTACAAGTGTACAGATATGAGATTGTGGAAATCTTTTTGTATCTTTTTTGGATAGTAGTACTTTATTAATTGTCCCAAGTACCAGCATCTGTGGGGAAAATAGCAGAAATATTCTAGAAAACTTCAATGGTTCATGTATTGTGGTATTATTTTAATAGAAATATAGTGCATTTAAAGATGTTTCTCTTTAAAGCTATACTTGCAATTATAATAATTAACCTTTATTGTCCCTCATGGGGAAATTCTTTTTATGCCTCCCTCCCTCAACTTGCTCTTTGTAGAACAAGCTGTCTGTGAAGGGCAGCCACCTGTTGGGGCACCCAGGGAGCTGGGGGTTAAGGGCTTTGTTCAAGGGCCCTGCAGACATGCTGAGGCTGGGTTTGAACTGGCAACCTTGTAATTACAAGCACACAGGGTTAGTCCACTGAGCCACACACTGCCCCATCACTGCAATGCCCCATCACTGCAATACCCATCACTGTTTTTGAATCTGGAAGTGTATCCTTCTTTGTGTCTTATCCTTCAGAGTAAACAGTGTCACAACTCATACTCAGCATTCAAATTAAAAAAAGTTTATTACCCTTCATAACACCAGATCTGTGACAGAACACCTCACCAGAGGCTGCCCATCCAACATACCAGGTCTTCTACCCCCCGGCTCCCACGAGACCAATAGCCCCAACATAGCTGGAAACGGGGAACTTGGTCTGATGACTGGACGGACAACCGCAGGATGAGGTGAAACAGAAGGCTGACCCATCTGCAGAATCCATCCAAATTCCCTGGACTGGAGAACCTGAATCAGAAACTTAAAAGGGGCAAGAGCACAAAAGCCAAGACAAAACTCCCCCGAGACAGAATGCCAGCAGCACGGTACAGCAGCTGTGGAATGATGGCCACCTGGGGTCATGTGCCCACCCTCAGTGCAGAAACTGGCCAACCAGAGAGCCCAGAGCCAAATGCTAGTCAAGGAACATGAACCCCCAGCTACCCCAACCCGCCAAGTCAGTGCCTGCAGGCTACTGTCAGGTGCAGAGAAAACAGACCTAACAGACAAGCCCCCAAAGCCAAACACAATCAAACAAAACAAAACCAAACAAAACCTCTGCCAAGGTAGCTATAGAACCCACTGCTCCAAGAACAATGTTGATGATCAAGTGGTAAACAATGCTTACTGCTCTGCTTAAATGAAGCTGGTCTCTAATTGAACCCAACCCAGCGCAGACTCAATCTACTGATGAATTATTCAGGCACAGGTGTGCCAAAAAAGTCCCTTCCTGCTTCAGCAGTTATTGAAAATATGTTTTAATCTGCCCGGTCTCACTTGGATTACAGTTTCATTATTAGATATACTGGGATAGTACTGGGTACAGTAGACCCCGTGAATGGAGGTCGGGAGTTTTATGTTTTCCATATTTCTTTAAAAATCATTATGCAGCTGTCTGACTCAGAAACAGAAACGCAAAGCTAGAAAGCATCATCACAATCCATGTGTCTGTTTCACAGATCCACTTATCCAAAGCAAGGTCACAGCAAGCCCGGAGCAAACCCACTCAGGCTTGCAGACTCCACACAGGGCCAATGGAGGAACGGAGCGTGTGGTTGCAGGTGAATCATTGTTTGACACAAATTGTATACACTCGGGGCTTACACTCGTTTTGTGTTAGATTCTTTTGGCACGGTTGCCCCCCGTCCCCGTCCCCCCGCCAAAACAACCCCACCACGAAACAGATTTCAATGTCCTATAAAATATTGCATTTTTATATAAAGAGGGGGAACAGATGACAGTCGCTCCAGGTTCGACAAATAATCAGAGACTATTATAATGTTTTTCTGAATATGATCATCGACTTGTAAAAAATAATTTTAACAGAAAGCATTTCAACAGAATACCCCCCCAAATAAGATTCCTCTCCATTAGATCTACGATATTCTTCACAGGACGCGAAGTGCGAGGTTTGCAGTTTTTATTTATTTTAAAAAGAATCTATTACACTGTACAATACACATATTATGTTTGAACGCAAATCTTGGACTGTTTAAAAAAAAGATGCAGAAATATCTCTAATGTAACCCCATAATTTTATAGAGTTTCAAATTATTTGGGGGATTTAACCTTTTGGGGAAAAAAAGCACCTTAAACATACAGAAGTATGTGTTATTTACAGAACACGTCTAATAATAATAATATTTCGTTGGAAACAAAAGGTAATACTACAGCTCCGACAAGAGTTAATACAGTACAGTCGGTGAACCTCTAAGTTGAATGGAGAATTGTGAAAGGTGCCGCTCGCGTCACTAGTTTCCCCTCCTCAGAGGAATACTGCCACTTTTAGGCTTTTTAGGTGTCGAGAAAATAAAAGGTAATGAGAGAACATTCGTGTGCGGCGTAAACACGTTAATGGTTCTGTTTAAGCACATCATACCAGATAAGTCCAGGGCTGTCATAGCAGCGGGAGTGGCTCTGTGTGTGTGTGTGTGTGCGTGTGTGCGCGCACGGCGCTGTGATCGCTGAAAGCAACGCCGACACCTCCTCAGCTACATTGCAGCCTGCGGAACACCATGTGAGCAGAAGCAGGCTGTGCCATGCTGAATAATTCTCCAATTCTTCTGCTGGCGCTGACCACCACAGCAGCACTCTTGTCCTGGTCTCAAGCCTGGAACGAAGAAGACCTTTTACTCCCCCCGATCAACTCCACCAATAGGTTTCTGGCGAACCTGGAAGTGGACGTTAGGTACTCTAAAAGATCGGTGGAGGAAAGCGAAGCTTCGTCCGAAACGTCGCTCCAGCCGGTCTGCAATGTCAGCGTGCAAAGACTCCGGCCCACCTCGCTGGTCGCTCGATGGGACAAGCAGTTCGGCTTCCAGTGCGATGTGCTCGTGTACACCATCAACAACCACGGGAGGGCTTTCTTCTCCGCCGCCTTCAACCGGGTGGTCTCACCAGTCTTCGTCGAGCACATCGGAGTCTCCGGTGGCCAGCAGGAATTCCGTCTGTGCGTCGGTTGCGGTCTAGCGCGAAACAGGCGCTTTGGGCAAAGCAGGTCACCCTCTCTGCAAACGGGAGATTCCCTTAATTTTTGCTGCCTTGAGTTTGGCTTGGATGAACTGAACGGGGATAAGAACTGGAGACAGAACCGTAAACCTATTGAGTCGACTCTGGTTGCCTGCTTCATGACTTTAGTAATAATTGTGTGGAGCGTTGCTGCCCTCATATGGCCAGTGCCTATTATCGCAGGATTTTTACCGAACGGAATGGAGCAGAGGAGACCGAGATGAGTAACGCGGAGCTGGGCTTATAGCCTACGTGGAAAAACCCTATTATACTAAGTTAGAATATATCATTTTCATAGTATATTTGGTCAAGTATATTTGTCTAAATTCTTAGTGAAATCTCCAAATAAGTGCTGAGCTTTTTCATAGTCGGAGTGTCGTGTATTTATGGGAGATGATGTGGACGATGTCTATTTTTATGAAAACTAATTGTTTTATATACCGCTATCCTAACTGTAAATGTTTTTGCGTAATATTCAGGTGCCGTTTAGAATCACTGTTTGTATCGTTTCTAACTTTGTAGAATTCTGCTTTATAGTGTTCAGACGTGATTCGAAATAGCCAGTGTTTTAAAGTACGATGTACGTGCGCCGAGGATAAATAGCCTAGAGCTTTCGGGAGTTACGTAAAGCCACGGTATAATTAAATCGCTTTCACTTAATATGTTATTAACTGTAAGTAATTGTACAGCTGTCAAATACAAACCTCTTTATAAAAGTCTGTGTATCAGTACATGGAAGTGTACAACCGATGAAGACGTCAGGGACAATTGTCTAGATCAAATAGTTTATATAAGACGAACTGTACGAGATTTTGCTATAACATAGGTCGTCAGATTTAATTGGATAGCCAAATAACTGTGTTTGTATTTATTTGTATGACATTGAATAAAAACGATTTTTTATTATATGACATTTTTTGCATTGTGGTTAAATATTTAATTTCTTGTATATTTGCAAACCGCGTTATGGTGTTAAGTAATCATTCATAACGATGAGAAACGAATGCGTCTTTATGTTATTACCGTTAACGGGCTGCTAAGATGGACAATAGCAGACCACATTTGGGTTTAGCCCTATAAATCAAGAGCCCGCCGTGAATTAAGTGTATGAAATATTCAAGTGTTTTTTTTTTCAATCTATCTACCATAAGTCCATCTATATTGCTGAAAACCGTTACTCTTGCGTCATAAGAAGGACCTCGCGTAAGTCAGTTTTACCAGTAGTAAAGTACGCAACCAAACTGCCAATAAGACGTCAGAAAACACTCAACTGTAGATATAGTTATTGGTTAAATCATTTGCAGTGATGTTTGTTGGGGCAAGTCCTGTTCGTCTAGAATTTAGATTTTCTTTTTAAAAAATTGTAACAGCTGCTAGTATTCAATTCAATTTTGGTAATCAGTTATAATGTCACATATACATATAGGTTTTATTATTTACTGTGTTAATATGTAAATATTTGATGCATATCAATATATTAAATGAACATTAGTGGAGTTTTTTTGCATTGATTTATTATTATGGACACAATATTTAACTATAAAAATATTAAGTAGCTATAATAATAGTAATGTACATAGATCTGAAAACTGCGGGCCATCAACACACAGAATATGGCGAATGCATGGTGAATATGGTCTTCCGTGTTGCATCGTGATTCGCCTCTGTCAACTCAAAGAGGTCAAGACTGCGCAGCCTTCGACTACTCAGGCCGTCAGCCAGCGTCTTCTGTGAGAGCTGCCAGCTTTACAAAGCGTCACGGTGAAGCAGGGCTGGTCTGAAATTATGTTGTTGTAGAGCAAAGAGAGGAAGAGAAATAACTTCCCTGACCCAGCAACAAGAGGACAGACCACAGGCAGCGAACACAATTCGACAGCTATGTTTTTAAAGGTCACTCTCTAATAAATACATCGGTGGACTTGTCAGTATTCAGTTTTCCTTGCTTGGGATTCACACTGCCGCTGTTTGAAGCCACATCTAATTTAGGGTGTTACACCCTAAATTACATTTGGATCATGGTATGTTACTTTAATGCAGTACATTTTAATGTGTAATGTTTAATCACTGCCAGACCAGAATAGTCTATTAGCGTTAGGGGAGGGGAGCTGCTGGTGATTCCGTGTGGGAGGATCTGTGGTCTGAGATGGTGCTGAGATGGACTCTGCCACACCAACAGACACCAGAAACGCATACAGCAAATGTTCACTTTGAACCATTGACACGGAATCTGACATCACTGCGAACGTTCTCCATATATTGTACTGGCAGTTGATGGGGGCTCCAAGGATATAAAAAAAAAAAAAAACATTGACATAGAGGACTGTCACCCTGGTGGATCCATGGCCCAGAATGTCATGAATGACACTACAGAGTGACATCACTAAATACCTGTACAGTGGGATAGCTCATGGTGAGCAACGGTCGGTGACCAAAAAGTTGATAAGACCCCAACAAGAGTTTTTTTACATGGTAAATTGACAGGCAACTAATGCAAATACTGCAATGTAATTATATACAAAGTAACTCATTTAAGCAGGCTGTGCTCTTTATTGATAAGCCACTATTGTGAAATACACCCAATCGCTTTTCTGTGATATTTGTTCATTATATGGTCACCTAGCGCCACCTAGTGGAAGATATTAGGGGCGTCATTGGTGTTTGGGCTATTCCAGATGGTTGTTTTATAAGAATACGTGCATCAGAAGATTCATTTATTATTTCTACACAAAAAAGTGCACTGAACTACAGTAAACAGTAAAGAGAGTTCGTTAAAAAAAATTAAATCAATTTATTGAACATTGAGCAGTTTCTTCACTCCCGATTAGATGCCCCTGGTGCCTATGGCTGTAACTAATCATCGGGTTGGAGGTTTGAATCCCACCTCTGTTATGTGTGTGTTTGTGGGGTTCTCTGCTTTCAGTGAGGAGTACAAAGGCATGCAGTTATGTGAATTGCCGTCTCTCAGTTACCGTTTTGGGAAGTCCAGCTTGGTCCCCAGTGCTGAATGGACTGGACTCTAGGGCCTCTGGTGGTCCTGTGAGAGATAAGAAGTTGCGAGATAGATGAGTGTAAGTCTGCGGCACGGTGGTGCAGTGGCTAGCGCTGTCACCTCACACCTCTGGGCTCAGAGTCTCCGCCATGGGTGTGTGTGGAGTTTGCATGGTCTCTCCGTGTCTTTGTGCGATTTCCTCCGGGCTCTCCAGTTTCCCCCCACAGGCCAAAAACTGGGGGAATTTGAGTTTCCAAATTGCGAATGGTGTGTGTGTGTGTGTGTGTGTTATTTTATCCTGGGTTGTTCCCTGCCTTGTGGATTCGGACCCCCTGCGACCCCTGGATTCGGACCCCACAGAAAGTGGACAGGTTGAAGTCCATTTTCCAAAGAAAATGTGTATATAAAGGGCGGTTAGACTCCAGCAGAGTATATGGGTTCAAGTCCTCCAGATGCAGACTGAAGGCTAAAATCCAGCTTAAAGTCTGCACATACCAATGTTTTTTAATTCCTTAAGTTTCTTGTAATGCTAAATATTCAGTGTGTTTTTATTTCTTTGTAAAGGGCTTCCCCTTTTTTGTATATATGTATTATTTTGGTTTTGATAATATAAAAAACCTGTAAACTCAAACTCATTAGTGAAAACAAATAATTCAGACAATAACTACGCATTATGAATGAGGCAGGGCAGCAAAAAATAATGTAAAAAAATAATTAATCTGCTACCCTAAAAGATATATATATACCCACTGGCAAAAAAAATAAGAATTGGGTTAAGCTGAGGACTCACATTAGCATTTGGTAAAGGGTTGGAGCTGATATGAGGCTTGGGCTGGATTAAGAGCGAAAGCAGGGCTGCCCCCCCACGCCGGCGACGTCGTCTACGGCGCGGTTTGATTGGGGGGCACAAATAAGCAAAAACACAACATTTTTGCTATTACATAAACTAAATATGGAGCTAATCAAGTATTTAACTGAACCATAAACTGAATTGTAACTAAGCAATGCTACTTTTTTGAAATTCAATGCTGACACTGAGTAATGCACTATTACAACAGCTCACGAAAACCTAGCATGATGTAATGACGCAGTTCCAAAGCACATATGAAGCTGACCAACCAAACCAAATATCGCTTGTTGATTTGACACTGCATATTCATCAACAAACATAAATACAGCAAGCTCAATGTGACCGATGCAAATCTGGTTTCAAATAAATATTTTCAGAAATATTTTTAAAGTGGTATTCCAGCTCGTTGGTTGCAGGACCTCATGAATCACTCGGTGAATAGGAAATTGATCAATATGAATGCTGTTTCAGAGCAAAGCTTGGATCCTTGGGAAATATTTTCACTGGAGCGTCTTTGTTGATTTTGTTGGATTGTATTAGACATTCAGTGTTCACTGATTCTCTTCCTCTACTTTATATTTGTCACTTACTGTACAACAGGTTTGTTTGTCCTTACTGCAATTACTGGGCTAGGATCACATGACCTGGAAACACACGTGGGGCTATTTATGTGGCATAAATAGCTAATGTAGGTGGTTTTGTGGGGCTATTTATGGCAGGTATAATCAGGCCCGTAGCCAGAAATTAATTTCATGGGGTGTCCAGCAGTCCTGTCCATAGGTCCCCCTCAGTAGATTTTGCCAGACGTGGGGGGGGGGGGGGTCCGGCAAATTTCAAGGAGAGTTCGTGCCTGATTACATTTGTCCTCAAAGATCTTGATCTAAAACTTTCATTCTTAAATCTCCATAATCCCCCATAATCCCAGGCTCACTTTATCTTGTAATCGTATGACCTTGTTGGCATTTCATGTGTAAATCTGGGGCTAATTAAGGTATGTTTTGTAGAAAATGCGTAGGACAGCGTTGGTCAGATTTGCGCCTTTTCCTGCTTAAATGCATACTTCAGCTCCTTTATTATTAAAACCCAAAACATGAAAAATGTGCCTCAGGAGTAGTCAGCTAATTTCCTCCTTTCCTTGGTTAATTTTTAATATTTTACGAGAGGCCAGGCTGTCATTACTTAGCTTACTAACTGGAGGTATCATTTTCTTGCCGGTAACCCAACGCACGGTCTCCTTTACACGTTAGGAAGTAACCAGAAGCCCTGTGCACTCATCGCTTTAAAACAAATCATGCAGCTTCCCCTCTGTCTGTCGAACACCAACCGCCAAAGATCTCACTTTGTTTTATTTATCCAGTAAAAAAAAAACACTTCTGTTGTCATTGTGCTGAGGATGTGCCAACTGTGTTTGACTCGTCCCACTGGAAATGTGAAGAATGACAAGGCTGGTTGGATGGATCGATTGGCCACGCTGAGAGATGTGGCCCAGTTCCAGGCTTCCTTCTTTCACATCTATCACAGACGACGGTTCTGAGAAGGATTAGCTGCATCATGTGCTGCTTTTGAAGAGTGGGAACGTGTGTATGATTTCGGTTGGCTGGCTGACTGAGCACAGGCTCTTGGGCAGATACTTATAAAGCGTGTCTTCAGAGAGCTGCCTGAATGATGCGACACATCAGACACCTGCTCTGAATCCAGCACATTGTCCTCACATTGTGCTCCACCCACAATCTACAGATCCAGGGAATTGCTCTTAAAGCCTGAAAGCACGTCAGCTCTCAACAGAATTTCCATCCAGGGCGAATTCTGTCCTATGCCCCATACTTACCAGTATGAGTTATGGTTAATATAATAGCACAGTTGAGTGTGTGTGCATGTATGTCTGTGTGTTTTATATAAAATATCTTTATATGTACAATAATAGAGATGTGATGCACTGCATAATTACATACAATACTTATTTTATTTTAAAAGTATGTATAGCAGGTACATACTGAGATAGAGAATAATAAAAAGTGTTTTTTAATCTTTAATTGACAGAACACTCTGGTCTGGATGCGCCTCTGAAAGCAAAAGTTGATGTACAAGTGACAGCAGACTCCTTGTTGGAGTAAACATTTATTTTCACGAGTATTTAGCCCCGTTTTTAATCAGACTGATTTCTACCTTTCTGTCTGTCGGTGTGTTTGGGACATTAACTCGAGTCCGTTTCACGCTCCACATATTTTGCAGTGATAAGAGAAGCGGGTGGGAAATGGATGGATGCCGGGACCCTCTTTTTTCTGCCTCTGTTACCCTAGAGTAGCACATCCTCCAAAACAAATTGTTTTGGTGTGGAGTCATATAATGTGTCCGTGTCAGTGCACTGGGTCTTAGTAATTAGGTTAAGAGCTGGGACTCTTAATTGGCTGCAGGTGAGGAGACAGGTAACGGACAAGCGTAAGTATTGAGGTGTGACACATTTATGTCAGAGGGGAGATTTGCCTGAAATGACTTCTTAGGTTACCTATCAGACCAGGGCCTCCGCCTTGCTCTCCAACCATCTAATCTCATCTTCTTGTCTTACTTTAGATTTGTTTCACGTTGCATGTGCATATTTTCCACTTGGTCCTCCATTTGTCATGTTTGCCTGTTTTCCCCATTGTTCATTTTGCTAATGTTGCCATCAAGAGAAGCATAATGACAATCACCCTCAATGGAGCCCATTCTTACCGACTTGCCTTTTATTCTGTGTTTGTGTGGTTGAGAATCAGTAGAGGAATTGTTTGTAACAATCTTGCATGCTGGATCAATCAACCTGCCACCTCGGTCAGTCTCTTTATTGCTCCCACTGTGTTATATGCGACTTGTGTTACTCTCTCTTTGAAGCTCTTTCCATTGTGCGTGCATTACTAATATTTCCTGCTTGGTTGTGTGTGTGCATGTGTGTGTGTGTTTGGGTCTGTCAATTTGTGTGTAAGAGAGAGTAACAGACATGCAGCAGGCAATCCCTCAAGTAATTTGAACCATTAACCTTCTGGTGAACTAAGTAGATCAAATGGCCATCAAAGATCAGAAGTTCCATTGTTCCATCCAGTGTTTACCAGGATGTGTCCTTACCCTCCTCTCTCACTTTTTAACATGACATCACCTTGCTATTTTTATCCCAAACTGTGCAGAATCATCTCTCTAACTACCTCCTTCTCACACGTCTCGTGTTTGTTCCAGTGCCTTCCGTCTTGTTGCTGCTATTACAAATTAAAGCCCAGTGTATTAAAACTAATTTGTTGTAAAATAATAAAATAGCCTAATTAAATACATAAATCAGCAATAAATTGGTGGTTTGCTTTCTCTTTACAACAGTGTTAGACTGTTCCTTTGTTATGTCGTTAAATTTGAGTGCTGATAGAGCCCGGATATCACAGCAATCTCTGTACTAAAGTTTCATTCCAATGACGGAGAGTACAGCTTGGTCTCTGCCCTAGTCTCCATCATCAGGACCGAATGTGCCGACTTAGGTCACTTTTGAGGAGCATCTGGACCCCATAATCCAACCTGGAAAGGAGCCATGATGCCAGAGTCAGCAGGAGGAGAAGAAAAATGGATTAGAAAATGCCCACTGCGACAATTCACAGGCTGCTTCTTCAGTCTTTACACTGTAGGAACACAAGCCAGCTCACCCTAATCTCCCATTGCCAGTATCAGATTCACATCATTACATATAATGTATGTAAGATATATATAATAAAACCCCAGCCACTTGTCTTACTTGTATGTTATTGCATATTACAGTACTATGTATAGTGTATATTATTGTTACCTAATCTGTTATTGCAACTTACTGTTGTTCATTGTTATACGCTGTTTAAGTTGGCAGGGAGGTACTCAAACAAGTATTTCATTGTACTTGTACTTGTACAAATGGACTATAAAGCTTGGGATGCATAAGGAAATGCCCTGATGAGGTAGGACTTCAGGGCCTCCGTGACTGAGGTGTGAGACATGGTAAATGATGGGGCATCCCTGCATCCCAAACGTTCTGGAATGGTCCAAACACTGACACGGACATTATCTACATTATTGGTCAGATTATTGGTCAGGTTATTGGTCAGATTATTGGTCAGATTATTGGTCAGATTATTGGTCAGATTATTGGTCAGATTATTGGTCAGGTTAAATTCAGTTCGCCAAACATGTGACAGTAAGCATGATTGCGACACGTATGTGATGTACTCTCTCACGCAGACTCTTAACACTGAGCTTAACTCCATCGGTGCTGACGAGCTCAAGAAATGAAACATACACAATCTTATATAAGCAGGGTGCTAATTAATAAAAATAATCTTTCGGGGGGGGGGGGGTAATTCGATTGCTTTCCTTGTAATTGCTATACCTGTTGTTCTTTCTGAGTGAGTGACGTTTGTGGGTTGTGCTGACTGAGTGGAGAAGGCTGGGTGGGGGGGAACGACGGGAGGAACGAGGTATGGAGAAACAGGAGTAGACCATGGAGAGAAATGGGAGGAGGCTGGGAGGATATTTAAGTGACCGGCAGGGGCTTCTCTCCATACCAGCCTTTCCTCTCTTTGTGGACAACATCACTGGCATCACATCCAGGCACCCAGGTAAGGAAGAGGTTCCAAGAGGAACGGCATCCTTCTCTCTGTAGAGCTCAGACGGCCTTGGGCATTGCTCCATTAGCGCCTCACATGTGTTTGCTTAAGGAATGACTCGCTAATGAGCGCCAGAACATCTCCCTTGGCAGCGATCTCTGCTTTTCTGTCTCTGCCTCCTCTCTCCGCTGTCCGTGAGTATGATGGTGCACCTGGAAGGACACCAGCCGCACTCTGGATAATGTATTATATAGCCAATGTTCATAAAAGCCTTAATAAATAGCCCGTAATTGAAGGAGTAAGGAGAATTGAATGGATTTCGCATATCCCTTACCTTGTACTACTACTGCTGCTATGTCTGTTTCCAAGGTATCCTGCTATCCCAGCAGCTTTCATTCTATTTTTGGTTGTTGGCCACAGTCGCTTGGCTCACCTTGTGCATAAATGAATACTTATTTTGGGCACACGTCGCTTTGTTAACCTTCCTGCTGCGCTCTTCAGTCACAAAATAACCCTTAATAGATCCTTGCTCTTTCCCTTGGCGTTTCATCCAGTTGGGTTAGGGTGATGCTGGATATAATGGAGATCTCTGAGGTTGCAATGAGATGGTCGCGTCCTTTCTGTAACTGTAGCTGTCATGGTGCCACCGCAAGTAGCCTTGACAAAAGGCTTAAGCAGAACCGTAGCTGAGCACAGGTGACGCTGCCGGTTACATAATTGATGTAACACTTGGTAAACAGTGACTTTTAGATGTATCTCACTGTTGTTGCTAATTCTCCAGCATCCGCGAACATAGGTGTGTTAAGTTACTGATTTCTCTGATCCGGCTCTTCCTGTCTTTCCCTCCATTCTTGGGTTTCTCTACCCACGCCACCCTTCCCCTGTTCCTTTGCCTCTCCATCTTTCCTTCATCTGACCCCACTTGCTATCAGGATGACCAGCCAAAACCCAGAGAACAGCTCCAACCTGGAAAACGCCATGCAGCTGATGATCCAGACGTTCCACAAGTACTCGGGAAATGAGGGCGACAAGTACACGCTGAGTCGTGCGGAACTGAAGGAGATGCTCACGCAGGAGCTGGGCAATTATCTCGGGGTAAAGAACGAGGCGCCGGACATCTCACATCCGTATAAGTCCATGCACCCAGATATTGACAAATACTCAGATCTGTGGGAAGATGATGATCAACATTCTATTACAGAAATCTGTGTAAAACGACACTCCTATAATTGTGTGCATTTCATTATCAGAGGTAGTTTGATCCAGTGCTTCCATGATGAGTCACTGAATACCTCTCTATAATACAAGCGTGACGCACAACACCTGGGAGACCCCTGTAACACACTAGCTGCCTCGGCTCAGTCCTCCGCCTCTCTCCGACAGAACGCCCAGGACAAGGACGCAGTGGAGAAAGTGATGAACGACCTGGACGCCAACAACGACGGCGAAGTCGACTTCACTGAGTTCGTCATCCTGGTGGGTGCCCTCACAGTCGCCTGCAATGACTTCTTCCTGGAGTATCACAAAGACGACAACAAACCCGGCGAAAAAAACTAGCGGGTTTCAATAGCTCACCTAATTACATCACGGAAATGTTGGGGAAGGCGGGGACAGGTATTTGTTTTGGTCAGGGGAATTCCCACATGCACCTCTCCCATCTAGATGCAATACGCCCATTACCAGTTAAAGATGTGCCTCTTTCCACATGCTACCAGAGGTTTTTTCATTCAATAAATATCAAACACTTTGTTTTGTTGCAAAATGTTCATAGCTGCACGCAAGTATGTTCATTGCTGCATGTGATTGTGCTTCCCAATTCGTTTTCTTCATTTTGTAGCCATTTTTCAGTTGATGGAACTTCTCCAACTTAAAGTAAAAAAAAAAAAACCTTGTGTAATTTTGGTCTTGTCTGAGTCATGTACGAGGAAAGTATAATGTCCTATGATACATAAGTAATTAAACATATAACCAGTTGTGAAGTTTATTTTTTTTTTCCACATTTACTCAATGGAGTACTGAGCTAACAATCTCCTCTGCTCTTATGGTGTCTGTTTAATGTCCGAGCAATAAATGGATAGTCAGTATATGACAGGAATGGTTTTACGGTAGTTGGATGGGTTTCTCGTGGTATATTAAACTCGCGTCTTCACATGCCTAGCGTTTGGAGAGATTACGTTCACGTTATTCTAATATAGTTTCCCACCAGTTTAAAGATTAAAAGTACACCGATTAAATTAAACTAGAAATGGCAAGAAGGTGGATGGATGGGTCTATGGATGATTAAATTTCACAGAATTCCCTTGCAATGCTTCTGCACTTTATTTAAAATCTCTTTTTCTGTTACCTTTTAACTTAACATTTAAAAGGATAAGATTATACTGAGAACACGTGGGTCAGATGCATTTAAATAATTAGACCAAAAAAAAAAAGATTAGACCAAGAAAAAAAATTAAGACTGCATGACTTCCCGCCGTATAATCCAACCTGAATTACTCATGGCTAATTCTACCACATAAATTTCCCATCACCCAGAATATAAAATTCCTCACCAATTATGTTCAAGAGCCTTTATGCATATCAGCTCAAATGCCTGTTAATATGTAGAAAATGTATCCAGGCACATTTCGGAAGAGTGCAGATTTTTAGGGAAACAGCATCAGCGCAGATCCTGTGGCTGAACTGAGAACGACAGCCTCTGACCGACTGGGACTGTACGGAGTTGGGGGTGGATGTACAAGCGTCTCAGCATGTAGAGAGACGAGTCAGAGTTGAATGATGTGTAGAACGTGGAAGGAGATGAGAGGCAAAAGGAAGGAAGGATGAAAATGGATGAGACGAGTGATACATAATAGAATTACAGGAGAGTGGAAAAGACAAATCAGCAGGTGGACCTGGAAGATAAAGTGCATTAAAAAAATTGGAATGATCCATTCTGTACACATTCAGTCGCTGGCAGCCACATGAAAATGATTGACTGGAGGTAGAGATTTTTACAGCAAGGACAAGGAAAACACAGTAATCTGTACTTAACATACCACAAATATCGGTCATAAGAACACAGCACAGAGATTTGAGATGGACGGTTTGAACAGTTTATAACCTCCAGCACTTTCCATTATTTTTCATGCACCACGGCTACAGGCATCCTAATTAGAGGCATGTAATACAAGAAAAGGACAGGGATCAGAGAAAGGAGGAATCTGGGCACGATATATGTTATAAGGCTAACAAGAGATATGACAAAAATGTAGTTTGCCCCATTCGGTTTTCAAACATTTGACATCCATAGAACTTTCCAGATCTCTAGGTGCTTGTTTTTAATCATAATTACTTACATTTATTTCACTCCTCACTAAATACATGCTGAGCCAGAACTCAATCCCACACTCTCCACAACTGCACCAGATAGCTGCTCTCACATCATCAACTCACTGAACTGAACATTTAAAATACTCTTCATAGGTAATATATATTGGTTTCGTGTAAATATGCACCGTCCATCTACTCACATTATCTCCATCACTTTCTTTCTAAGAAGAACACATTTTATGATAAGCTAACGGAAGGTAAAAACGTGACATACATGGCTACACAATGACGTGCTCTGTTGTGCTATGGTAGGAAATACTAGAGTAAACCAACGAGCATACTGTTTTTTTTCTTTATTTTTTGCTTCGTTTGAGCTGTCAAAGCGTGTTTTCTTGCAGCGGGCTGCATTTGCGGCTGGGGTATGGTCTGGTGGATGCCCTGATGATATAGACGATCAGAAGCATATAATTGGCTGATAGGACTGTCAGTAAAGTATATAAATGTGTCCTGTCTTCTCGATTTACTTCTGCTTACATGTTTCAAAATTGAAGTGGGAGAAAATGGATTGGGAACGCCTCCAAAACACTTGTTCTTATATTTTGACTGTTTATTGAGAGTTTATATATAAATCTTTGTGAGGATGAACATCCATCAGTCCAGGTCAATAATGGGTAAAAACGACTCTGTTCAGGTGGGGGCCATCTTTTATTTTTTTTGCACCCTCCAGCCAGGTCAGCATTTATTTAGGGCAGTGTCCAGAACGCCCGCATGGATCAGCCGGGTGAGTGCGATATGGTCTTGGCTGTATAGTTCTGGAAGAGCGGCTGCAGGAACATGCCCACTGTGCCGAAGACGCACACGAACACGAAGATCCACAGGAAGAGCCGGTCGATCACCATGGCGACGTACTTCCAGTCTTCAATCACCTAGGAAGGGGGTGAAAGCAGAGGTTAATATGTAAAGGGACTGATTCCGGGCCAATGACATTCAATATGGGCACTGACACTGTGTTCCAAGCGATGTCTACTGGCGCTTAAATTACTTCCTGTAATTATGGAGAGGTGGGTATGCAGTTAGAAGGACAGACAGAATTGCCAAAGACCATTTATATTGTATGACAACAGAACCACATTTCCTCTTGCAATTCATAAAGAATCACCATTATTTTTATGCTGTATAGCACTCTTCTGTATGCTGTACACTCTTCTTTTATGCTGTATAGCGCTCTTCTCATAAATACTCATCAACAGAAAGCATATAGATTCCAAGTTATTCGTGATTAATACTGATGTGTTTCACCTCACCTCTCATTATTAATATATTACTGCTTGACTGAAGTTTTTCTGCAAAGTGGTTCAAAATTTTAAGTGGATATTTTACTGCAGGTTAAGTGCCTCACTAAAGTGTACAACAGAAGGTCCTCACCAGGGAGATAAAATGACAGCATTCCGCTGTCCCTCCACACCCTGCTACCTGTAACGGTTCTCATATACGGATGGAGCTTTAGTGTAATGCATAGCCAGCATACTGATCTGCCTCCCTGGGAAATGAGAGCTGTTTCAATAGCAGAGGTAACCAAATGCTTGGATTCAAAGCGATCCCAGTTATGATGATCAAGCGACCTGTGGGATTTGTACTAGAATGTTATTTTGTCTATATGTCTTTCACCTACTGTTTCTTTGTACCTTTGACTTACACTGAGTCATTGTTATGTACGGTTATGTGTTTTTTCTATATATTCGGTATTTATTTGTCATTTTTCAGCGTCTCTTGGTCTAGCTGTCTGATGCTCTGCAGAAGCGCAATTTCATTTCATGTGTGTGAAGTGGCAAGAAAGTAACTTTACTTGTGGCTTTAATTATAAAGATTTATTTAGTAATCTGGATGAAAATAAATCCCCCCCTCTGGGACGTTGTCGGGTTGGGGATCAGACTAAGAAGCAGCAGAGTAGGAAAAATATGTGTAACCTTGGGGGAGGGGGGTTGGGTTTAGGGTTGGGGTTGGGTTTAGGGTTGGGGAGGGCACTCACGCTTTGGTCATCATCCTCATTCCTCATGTGGTTGGCGATGAACCGCACTCCCTCCACAGCCTCCTCGAATCCTGGGCAGGCCTGGCTCAGCAGGGCTTGTGTGAGAGGGGGGGTCAGGCTGGGGGGATGTGTGGGGGTGGAGGCGCCGCCTTCCCTCCCCTCCCTGTGTCCCACGAGCCCTTCGGCGGAACTGCTGCCCCCTCCGCCGGGCTCCCCCCCCAGCTGCTTCAGCGAGGCGCGGTTCACATAGCAGGTGCAGGCATCCCCGCTCTCATTGGAGAAGCCCGGCCCGACCCCACCCCCTTCTCGCTGCTCATTGGCCCGGCGCTTTTGCCTTAGCCTCTGACGCTCACAGCTGTTTCTGGGTTGGGGCATGAAAAGCAAAGCGGGCAGCTTGTCCAGGAAGACCGTCCTGACCCAAGGGGGCATGGTGTGCGTAGTGGGTGAGCGGTGGTGCACATTGAGCACGCACACACTGGTCACGATGGAGAAGGTCACCAGCACCATGGTGAACATCAGATACTTCCCCACCAGCGGCACATCCAGCGAGGTGGGCGGCACGATCTTGGAGATGAGGAGAAGGAAGACGGTGAGGGCCAGCAGCACGGAGATGCACAGCGTCATCTTCTCGCCGCAGTCCGAGGGCAGGTAGAAGACCAGGATGGCCAGCGAGGTGATCAGCACGCAGGGGATGATGAGGTTGATGGTGTAGAAGAGTGGCTTGCGGCGGATGATGAAGTCATAGGTGATGTCCACGTAGGTGGAGTCAGCCGGGTTCTCGTTGCGCCGCCCAGGAAGGGCGATGATGTCCCACTCGCCACTGGGTGTGAAGTCATCCATGCTGGCCACGTCAGACTTGAGGACCAGGTCGATCTCTGTGCGGTCGTACGTCCACGATCGGAAGCGCATGGTGCAGTTCTGCTGGTCAAACGGGAAGTGCTTCACTTCAATCTTGCAGGCACTCTTGTAGATGGCAGGAGGTAGCCAGAAAATGCTGCCATCATAGGAGACCAGTGCATTGGAATAGAAGGACACCTCGTACATCCCATCAGCACTGGAGCAAGGGCACACGGTGAAGAAATGCTTCATTATGACAATTCCTGTATATCATTTTGATTACACACTTACTTGTGTTATTATGTATACAGTAGTGTGCCAGAGTCTTAGTCATAGAAAATGTCTAAAGCTATTCATCTGGGTAGTAGGCATAGATTTGCTCAAAAAAACACTATTTAACATTACAACATATGCCAGTTAACAGTAACACAATAAAAAAATAGATACGATTTTTTCTATTCTCCAAAACGTTACTATTGTCTTGTTGGATGGAATATCACTCCAGTTCCCAAACCTCTCCTCTGGGGTACCTCAGTCATTCCATACATTAACTAAATTTCACTGCCAGCTCAATCAATCAATCACTCAATCAATCAATCAACCAACAATCAAACAATTAATTAAATTACTTAAATTAGTTAAATGAGGTATTGATTAGCTATACCAGGTGTGCTAGTGGCTGGAGTCCAAAAATACATGGGTGTATTGAATGGTTGCTACAAATACTTCAGGAAGGGTTTTGAAATGGCTAAGCTGACACACTTTGACAAACATAAAGATCATTTCAACATCATTTTCTTTGACTGCCTAAGAATTTTCTGTAGTACTGTATATCAAGAAATAGTACCAAAACTGTTACAATTGTTTACAATAATAAATCTTTTCCTGAACAAGAGTCAAGGTCAAAGGTTTGTATGGCCTGATGAGCAGGCTGAAATGCCACACAACAATTTTTTCAGCAATTGACAGATTGACAATTATAGAAAGTGACAGATAAGAGGCGTAACAGTTTATATAATATGGATTATTGATAAGAGTATCCAAGATGTGGTAATCCATCCATCCATTCATCCATCCATCTGCTTTTCAAGTACATGGCTGCAGGGGAGCGTGGAGCCCATCCCAAGCAGCACAGGACACAAGGCAGGAGACACTGCTGCAGTGATGACCAGGCATGCTAACTACGCGATATAGGAGTAACTCTAAGTGTAACCCTATAGCTATATAAAGGGACACCGAGGCAGGAAGAGTAGAGCTAAGCAAAAACAATGCAGCCTCATCATATATGTAAGTGTTAGAGGGAGGGTGAGGCAGGGACAGTACCAGTCAAATGTCTTTGAATGCATCTGCCTCTATGTTATTCACCTTATAGTAAAAGCCTGTGAGGTAATGACATAATACATATCAAATACTGGAATGACCGAGAGAAGTGTGTAACATGTCAATTCTGACAAATTTTAGATGCCTCAAAATGGCCCAATGACAGCATTGCAGACTCTCGGCATTCTTTCAACCAGCTTTCAGAAGTAGCCACCTGGAATACTCCCCTTGTTATTCAGTACCAGGTGCCGGTACTCCCCTTGTTATTCAGAACCAGGTGCCGGTACTCCCCTTGTTATTCAGTACCAGGTGCCGATACTCCCCTTGTTATTCAGTAACAGGTGCCGGTACTCCCCTTGTTATTCAGTACCAGGTGCCGGTACTCCCCTTGTTATTCAGTAACAGGTGCCGGTACTCCCCTTGTTATTCAGTACCAGATGCCGGTACTCCCCTTGTTATTCAGTACCAGGAGCCGGTACTTCCCTTCTTATTCAGTACCAGGTGCCAGTACTCCCCTTCTTATTCAGTACCAGATGCCGGTACTCCCCTTGTTATTCAGTACCAGGAGCCGGTACTTCCCTTCTTATTCAGTACCAGGTGCCGGTACTCCCCTTGTTATTCAGTACCAGGTGCCGGTACTCCCCTTGTTATTCAGTACCAGATGCCTGTACTCGCCTTGTTATTCAGTACCAGATGCCGGTACTCCCCTTGTTATTCNTGCCGGTACTCCCCTTGTTATTCAGTACCAGATGCCTGTACTCGCCTTGTTATTCAGTACCAGATGCCGGTACTCCCCTTGTTATTCGGTACTGGATGCCAGTATTCCCCTTATTATTCAATACCAGCAGATACTGAGAAGTGCCAATACTCTGTAGAGAAAAACAAAGAGGTGCTGGCACTGCATACCGGTGAGTACTTCATGCACTGGATGTGCCCAGATCTTTGACTGGTACTATTTGCTGCTCAGCAGACCAAACAGGAGCAGGAGTTACCGTTGAGAGGACTCACTTGTTATAAAGCACCACATCAGGCAGCCAGATATGTTTGGAGGGAAGTCTGACCTTCACCATGCCATCAAACTCCTCCGGGACCCACGTCAGTCGGTAGTCCTGCCATTCCTGTGGACCATGAGAGTGACTCATAACCGTCACAGTGCTGATGGTGACTAGCAACTCCTCTGTAATCAGGACTGTCAGACATTATGGACCGCTTCAGACTGTACTTAATACTAGCTTTGACCACAGAGCACAGCTTCGGGTCACAGTTAAATAAAGGCAGCCGGGGGTGGGGGGGGGAAGGGGTGAAAGAAGAGAGTTAGAGAGACTCACCTGCGTTAACCAGACATTAGTGGTCATTATCTGCTCTCGCTCATGCTGTAATGGAGACCAAGAAAAAAAAAAACAGACGGCAAGACCATTAAGTATTGATAAGTACGGCTGAGATGAGTTACCATGAAGCCTCCCCCCCCCCAACCCACCCCTTCCATGCAGCCACACAAGAGTGCATTACTGAAAGAGTGGACAGCAACCTGTCACTCACAAAGAGTGACCGGTCAGTCACTCACCACACTGATAAGCTGTGCCAGCGACACCATGAGCTGCACTGTCACCACCTCAGAGCCATTGGCCGCCGGCCGGATCAATTTGTTGTAGTGGGCGGGGTTGAGGAGGTGCTCCACCAATCGCTCCTCGGTGTCTGCCGCCTGGCTGCCTGTAAACAGTCATCATGCCCGATTCCATCATCACCATGTACTCAGAGGAGCTATCAGGTTTATGCGCCAATTGCGTTGAGGGAATTATTTGGAAAGAAGTGATTCTCATTATTTCCTATTGTGGAACGACTGTGGAAGCCTGTGATTTTCAGATGAGAATAACCCCAATTATTACAGCCCACAGACTCCAACAATAGTTCAGTTACTTACTATCATTTTGCAGAGCTCAGTTCTGCAGTGGAATTAACTACAGAGTCAAAGGTCTACTTTCCCTGAATCAAATTCACATCTGAATTTGAATCACAATCAACATATTGTGACAGAACAGAAAGGACAAAACATTTGAAGTGAAATGTGGTGAAGTGGGAAAACTCCCATTCCCCACACCCTTATCCGACTTTGTCTTTCTCCTCTCTGTCTCCTGCTCTCCGGCAGCTGCAATGACGATTTTAGATGCCAGACATCCAGCCCAACCATATGCCTAAGCACCTTCCCATCGGCCACTGACACAAACTGGGCCGCCACACCTGCACTCCCCCTCGACCCGCTGGTTAATATACAGGATCCTTTCTGTCACTAAGGCCTGAGTTGCACATGGTTCTACCTGCGAGTCAGTCCCGCCATTCGGGGTGGGCCGGGACCCAGCATGCCGTATCCCACAATGCACCAGGCAGGACTGCTGAAAGCCAACAAGGGTACTGTCGTCCATCTAAGGCTGTGTTGCCATGGCAGCGGATAGGCTCTCATAATATTCTTAGTTATGACCCATTTAAATGCGAAAGTTAGGAGATGTCTCCCTTTCAAGAAATAACTATAAAATTAAAAAAAAAGTTTAACAAGTAAACAAAGTACTAATACAGGATTGAGGCCAAGTTATTTTAACACATTCCTGCATATAGAGAGAGGCAGAGAGAGGCAGAGAGTGAAGAGGATGTTTGGGTGGGTATTCAGATGCAGCAGAATCCTTTCACGCTGAAACGTTTTTGAATCAATAGAGTACTTTGTGGCTGACACGGTAGCTCACGGCACTCTCCTGTGTCTGAGCTCTGAGTCCCACCTCCTCCCTATATATGCATGAATTATTAAGCATGACTTATAAATCACAGCTATAATTGTAGCTTGTGGAAGGAGGCTAGAAAATCAGGCCACTGTCTGAGTGCTATGTGGTCTTGTATTATTTTATTTAAGAAAATATTAGCATGCTCCTCTTTGTTTTACGCTCCGATTCGTGCACTGAGTATTCACATTGACATTTATTTTACTTAGTGCTTAGCAGACACTTATATACAGTGAAGCAAGTGACACAACACGGAAACACTGAAGCCATTAATTTATCTCATTGATTGTCAGCCAATTACAGTATACAATCCTTCCAAACATTTTTTTGTCTGTTTTTTGAAAAACTGCACAAACTGTCTGTATGGTCTGTGGTCTGTGACACACACGGTATGGGTGATCGACTGCCTCAAAAGGTGTGTAGCTGTCCTTCGTGTTTTTTTTGTTTTTTTTTTGCTTAGTCAGTACGTGCTGATTGGGCACGGATCGAGTAATTCCTGTATAAAGATTGTTGCATTTCATTCTCCATTTCTTTCAGCTGTTCTCTTCTTTTATAATTCACGACAACAATTATAGGCACATAGGCGTATGTTTGTAAGTACTATTTCGACGCATTCCCATTTTTCTCACTTTGTACAAGTATGTAGTAAGTGTGTTCTTGAATTTAACTGGGTGTGCATCACATGGCACTGAAAATAATAATAGGTTTAACAAGGTAACTAACCTGGGTTTTAATCTGCGCCTTGTCCTTAGTGGAATCGCTAAAATTTATTACTTTTTTTTGTCTTGTTAAAGATGACCAAGTGATCTCGTACACAGGGGCGGTGGAGGAGTCTCACGGCAGGGGGGCCGGCAGCCCCCTCGGAAAATTTGCCCGTTCTCGATAACAGGGCTGCCAGCTCCGGTCGGCTAGAGTGACAAGTCTGCACACACATATATATGTATGTAACAGATGTATTACCTTTTAAATAGCTAATTTTATATTTGTAGCTCATTTTTGGTTCATAATGCAATAATACATATTTGCCGTAAGATTTCTTGCGCGACAGTCTGAAAGCGCCAGATGCGTGAGAGCTGGCGTATAATATACCTGCCGGGGGGGTCCTCCTTGGTAAATTTTGCAGCGCCCCACTGTAGTGATGGGCCCAGTACCGGTTGCCTCTCCGCCCCGCCCCCGGTCACTGCTCCTACATACACATATCTTATATATATTGTCACCGGACACCGGAAAACGTACCGATCCAACAAACACGCCTGGTCAAATTGTTATTTGTATTTTTTGCATTTTGCATGTGCTGTATTGTAAGTCATCTAGTTTAGTTGTAATATTTACTGATCCACACCTATTTTCAATCGCTATAACTCATGATCCTGAGTGCTCATACCGTAAGTGCAGACCTGTGCCTACCTATACGGTCCTGTCACTTTGTGTCCCAGCTTCTTATATACAACTTTGCTTTTTTAACATGAAAATGAGGGTTTTATGGGTGTCTGGCTATTCCCAGTGAGGATCCCAAGTACCTCGCTGGGGATCATTTACGTGCTTGCCGCGGTTGCTCCGTTACGTATATATGATTATCTGTCGCTCTGTTACTTATAACAAAATGGAGTGCGGCCGTATATAGATTGCATTGCAGGAAAATGATTTCTCCAACTCCGTAGTCATAACTGAAACTGTATACCGTCAGAGGTACGCATTTCAACTTCTATACATTTTAACTTATAAACACGTAACTTATAAACACGCAAAGCATTTTGGTTGTCGTAAAACCTCGGGAAATACCAGTCCTAGTTATACTGAGCTTATAGCGATTATAAGCAATTTTTCTACTGCATACTGTACAAGATTGGACAGAGCGGTGACATTCAATACTGTAAACATTAAAATTAATCAAAATCTGGAAATGCAAAATTATGCAATCATTCTCAACGGCAGGATGCTCTCAGTCACTCTTACCCTTACATACAAGTACCTGAATGTATTTTAAAATATTCCTCAATATATTTTTAGATTTGCCTTACTCACGTACCTTACGCATCATTCCCCGGTTGCTTACCAGTATTTACAAGCGATTCATAATCTTATGTCTACGCACCAAGCTCCCCATTGAACAAAATCGACGAAGTTGCTCACTTTTCACAATGGCGAGTAGAGGCAGCAGCATCCAGGGACCCATGGCTGTCAGAAGGGCTGAGAAACAAATAGGTTCCTGTGCATCTATAAGCCTGCACTCGGCGATCTATCGACACACTAACGACACTCTTTTTATCTATCAGGTACGTGTCACAGTCACTTCTGCTCTTGGTCAAGACATTTTTGCTGTGGCGACTGTAAAATTTCAAACCAGCAGAGTTAACTCGTATTACGCTAAACGAGGCGATGAACTAGAAAAAAAACTGAGGAGGAGGAGGAGGAGGAGGAGGAGCGGATCGATGACAGTATATACACCTCAGAATATTTCCCATCTCCCGCTTAAGCTGGATATCTTCCGATCTGGTCCTTTTAAAAATAGATTTATGGCAAAACGACATTAGGCATCGCCTAATGTAACATGTAACATAATGAGCGCCTTGGATTTTACTACTGCGTAGCTTATGAGGAAACGATTATGCTGGAATAAAAATACAATTTCTCAGCGAATAACTGAAATCAACCCAAGTGCATTTCTCTTTTCTGTTAATATTCCTTTAAGGTTCCTGCTTATTTCAGAAATATATCCACATTTTTTTTCTTTGTATATCTGAGCAATGAAGCTGTCAGCTTTTCTTCAGCTCGGATCGGTTCAGAGTGCATCAAATCACGTCATCCAAAGCCTCGTGCTGATTCAAAGCCCCTTAGATGGCAAAAGTGGCATAAATGTTATAAATTAATAAACTGATACCGATGCAACAATACGGGATAGCTTCGTTGGGACAGGCTGTTAGTGGTTAGTTATTCTTACCACTCTAGGCCAAAGGCAGTGAAGTCTACCTGAATTTTTGGGGACTGATGGGCAGTCTGTGGCGGTGGGTTTTTATTTTTTACTAAGCTTTGGAATGAGGAGGTGATTCAGCAGTTCTGGGGTTTCACTTAAGTGCCGGACAATGGTGGTGAAGGAGAGAGCAATTGTGGAATGTAGGATCTGGTTCTCACTGATAGAGCGGACTTGCAGGGGTGTAGAGGCTAATGACGTTGAGGTTTAGGACTGTTTTCTGCCTAGCAGACCTGGACCAGCATGTCGGTATTTGATTCTTGGGGGCAGAGTATAGGTGAGGAGCAATATATATGTGTCTGGTTGCCAAAGACCAGCCGTATGTAAAAAGGGTGGAATGCAGGCCTGTGGATTTGCTTCTGCATCATTACCCAGAGAACTCATGTCCAAAGATAGCAAGGTGGTGAGGCAGAGCCCATCTATTACCTGACCGCAGTCAAAAGCACACGACGGCGACTTTGCTGAAGGGTAGATCCTGGTGAATGAAAAGCTGGCGTCTTTCACAGTGTGAAGAGCAGCAGTGGTGCAGTGTGAGGTCATCTCTGCTCCTCTGGGAGAGTATTTAAGCACATATTTGATTGCACACTCTCCATATTACATACACAGCGAAACACTATAAACGTGCAGAACGTGGCGTATAAAATAAGGATGATGAGTGTTAAATGAGGGAATGCTGGACGGGGGGCTAAGATGGATGTATGGTGAGATGATGCATGATGGTTAACAGGAAAACACAGGCAGGACTGAACGCAAAAGCGTGAGAATGTGAAGAGCGTTGGCAGGGTCTGGGGCGCTGCTGGAGATTTTGGGCCCCATGAAAGCATATCATTTTATCATTTTGGGCCCCCAACCCGAACCAATGCAATTATGTTTGATAATTTTTATGGCCCCTGTCAGTCATTGGTCCCCCCCCCCCGCAACCTTATGGTGCCCCTAGGATTGGCTGAATACAGCACAGCAGTTTTTCTCTCGCACAGAAGTGTGGGAGACCCCTGTGTTATTAGAATGACTGGATCTATTCATTAACCTTGTAATTTTATAAGGTAAAGCTCATATAATGTGGACAGGTTGATGCTGGGTGCAACTGAACAAAGCACTGACAATTAGAGGAGTATGCTTTAATAAGCACAGATCTGATAATGAACAAAAAGTAAATACTGGCCTGAAATAAATATATATTGTTCTGTATGAGCACAGAGCATGTCTGAGAATAGACGAATATAATAGAAAATGGAGGACTCACGACTTTAAATGAATCTCCGTGAGAGGCTGAGAAACTCTTTATAATTTATAGGCAAAAGAATTATTAAATAATTCTTTTGAACTGGTCACTGGTTAGAATATGAAGCTCAATTAAAGGGATTTTATTGATGAGTTGCTGTGACTTTGGAGAGGAGATTAAAAAACTGGTGATTTTGGACTGGTGTTAAGGCAAAATTGCTATTCCCTCAATTCAGTCTTTGTTTAAACCTTACAAAATAGTTCTTAAACCTTGTGGAAAACTATAAATTCATTTTAAAAAATTGCGGACCCAGATAAGCTGTGATTCTGAGTCCGGACTCAGTGAGACTCATCATGAAGAAAAAATATTTCTGCAAAAACACCCGTTTCGAAGAAAACAAACAAAAATGCTTACAGTACAGGATGCCATCCTACTTTTTCCAGGTTGTTCTGCCGTTGTCTATAAAAGGGTCTGTTTCTCGCTGTGGCTCAGCAAGTGACCTCCTTCTGCACCTCCTCTAAACAAAGCTTTGTGACTCAGCCCCTGAATTATTAATGTGCACAGAAAATCCCTAATGCAGAAGTCACCTGTGTCTCACGGTTCTCTCCCTCTCTTACTGCACCATTACTTTTCATCTCCTTGGCAAGCCGTACGATCGTCTGACACTAATCGGACTGAACACCCTTTCATCAGGTGTGATTTGTTAGATTGTTTGGTTTTGTTATGTGGAGGTGCACTGTGTGCCAAAACAATGTTTTATACGGCATTCCTGGTATCAGTGAGGTGAGATTTTATTTATGGGTCTTTCTCTCTGTTCAATGTAGAAACAGCCGTACCTCACTTCTTCCAATCACCATGGCAACCGCAATGCCCTTTCTAGCAGAAGTCGAAACACCGGCAGCGGCTACACTGAGACCCATATGTGCACACGAGTCAATGTGAATAAACACTGTGCGTTTATCCACCCATCTGTCTTTAAAACTGCTTATCCTGGTCGGGGTCACTTTAAGAGTTTCTGCTCATGATAATTACATTCCTCACGGCCGGCACCGAGGACTGTCTCTGATGTCCCTGGCTGACTGAGACTGAGTACGACTTAGCGTACTCAGTCTCAGTCAGATTGGCGCATCTGTGCATTCATGCGTGCAAAAGTGCCAGTGAAGCAGATGGGAAACAAATAAATCAAACGAATTAATGATAAACTAGCACCGTAAGCAGTTACTTAATGCAGCCGGATATGCATGTGGTAGCATGTGTGCGATGAACATGCTTGTTAATGAAACTCATTTAATGTGATTCATGTTGTTCAGCAAAAAGACAAACAAAAGCCAATACATGCCGTTTTAAGAATTACACATCCGCATTCTTTATTTTACTCAATGGTTCATTGTGTTTTTGCATGTCAAGAGTCAATCTGCTTGAGTAAAGTAATAAAAAAAACACAAGTGTCCTGCACTAAATCACACAGGTAACCAAAATCCATATTCCATCCAAAGGGGTCTTCGGCGTCTCTCTTAACGTTGGGGAAATAATCAGCAAAGATGCAAGGTCTATTCTACCATTCACCCAAGACTGGCTTTAATATTGAATTAACCGAGCACATCAATACGGAACTGAATTGTGCCACATATCACAAATCGGCTCTGTCACCAAATTACATTCATTAACATAAAACAATGAAATAAAAGTAAATTGAAAACAAAGCAGTTTCATTTTCTATACAATACTCCAATGCAACCTGTTGGGAAATTAGATTCGTAAATACTTCTGCTTTCATATATCTTACAAGATAACCTTTAGTTATCTATAGGCGTTATGAAGGCCCTCTGCAATATGCAAGTATTACCACCAGGGGGCGTATAAAATGTACTGTTGAGACCTTTGAGTCCTCAGTGAGTGTTAATGATACGATCGCTAGGCAGTGAAAAATACTGGGGAATTTGAGGACGAATGAAATGGTGCGAGCGTAGTAATTAAAAATTTATTACTGTCAGATCTTTCATGCATAAAAATTTCATTATTTTACCAACACCTGAACCTTTCTGCAAACTTCTTTAAATCTGATGGCTAGCAGAGGCAGCTGGACATGGAGCGATGGCAGGGAGTACGTCTGAAAAAGGGCAAAAGTATGCAGCTTGTCAGAAAAATTGCTTTCAGTGGACAGGATGAGCCTCATCGCGCCTGCGAGCCCGATGCGTGACTCTCGGGACATGGCGGTGAGTCAGTGCAGGCGGGGAACTGGGTGCTGCAGGGTCATGTGCTCTGCCCCGGTGAACGGCAGCCGCTGGGTGCAGTAGTGGTGCACCACCTCCGGGATGCTGGGAAACACACAGCTGCTCTGGTGCAGGGTGAAGCCGCTTTCTTTGGTCTGAGCCACGATAATGTGAACGCAGCCCTGACTTGTCCTGGAACGAGGGACAATGACAGAGAAAATCTGTACAGGCTTTAGGAAACATCCTTACCTGACTATCTGCTTCTCACGCACAGGGACTGAACGACTGTGGCAGTTTGCATCGAGAAAAAAGTCCTCAGCGATGCAAAGGAATGCTGACAAATTGCAACATCAACAAGGCTATTAAAAAAAACTGGGGCACTCATGAATCGGAGAAAAACAAGTCCCTGAATTATCAGTTCAATGGCTGAATTGTACCTACAAGTGGGGTTGGTTAGGATGACACTACAGGACAGGATCACTGTGCCTGTGAGGTTCTGGCGATATTGTCTGCCAAGCGTTGACCCAACACAGGCGCACGTTGCCCCTTATTTCCACCCCGTCATGAAAAATGTGTAGGCAAGTCAGTGCTGTAATGAATATAAATGGTAAGACTGAAAGGCCTCACTGCCTCAGTGCTAAACATGACTGAACCTTTAGTGCACATAGAGTTCACACGTACACTATTAGGCCAAAAGGTATTTGGACACCCCTATTAATTAGAGGAATTCCCAAATTAAGCCATGCCCATTGCTGACACAGGTATATAATTAAACACACAGTCACACAATCTCCCGTAACAAACATTAGCAGCAGAATGGCTGGTTGTACAGGAGAGGGTAGTGACTTTCCACTTGGCACCATCGCAGGATGCCATCTTTCCAACAAGTCAGTTTGCCACATTTCTGCCCTGATAGAGCCGCCCTGGTCAACCGTGAGTGTAGTGATTATGAAGGTCAGAACGTCTGAGAGAAACACAAGCTCACAGAAAGGAACCTGATCACCCAACATCAGTACCCAGCCTGAATGGCAGTAAATACCACCCACAGTAATCCAGCTTCTAACAGAAAGCCTTCTCAAAACACTAGTTCAGCGACAAGACGCCGACCAACTTCAACCAGTGATTTTGGAATGAGATGTTGGCCAAGCTGATACCCACATGCTTGGGTACATACACCCCTACGTGTGCAGGGACGGCGAGGCCACGACGAGACTCACTTGAGGGCTATCGAGTACTTGCTGGTGCCCGACTCGCTGTTGCGCACCAGGAAGCTGGCCTCCTTGCAGTGCTGGAGCTGCGATTCCGCTTCCTGTCGCGTCACGCAGCCGTGGTACCAGCTGGATATAAGGCAGGGTGGGTGCAGGGAGCGGGGGGTGACGGGAGCGGGGGTGACGGGAGCGGGGGTGACGGGAGCAGGGGTGACGGGGCAAGTCAGAGACACATAACAGCCGTGAGACACGCCCTAAAGAAAATGCATTTAACTGTAAAAGCCCTCATATAGGAAACTGCCATTTCTAAGTCTGTGTTTGTTTGGTTTTTTTTTTTTAATTTTGGGCAAGTGTGTATTTACGTGGCACATGAGTGTAACTTAATAATGTACACAACTAGCAACCACTTTTATCCTGCTTACTAACAGTTTACTGGCAATGACATAAATGGACATTTCACGAACATACCAAAACGAAGTGAAAAAAGAAAAACAAAAAGCGTATGGAGTAATGAGCCAGCCTGTTATCTCCCAAGCACACCATGTACACCCACTCATACGGAATGCAGGCTGGGTGTCACAAACATCCAGGCGGGGGTGAGAGCGGACCCACAGCAGGTCCGGGAACAGGCAGCACATTGGCATTTGGGCTCGTGGGAGTTTTACTCACACAAAAATATTCTGAGACAAGAATGAAAAATGATTGGTTCAAAGAGATAACCAATCCGATCTTGGGCAGATGTCCAACTAACCAATCAGATGTCTTGGTCCCACCTCCTCTAGTTACTTGGACTCGCCTCCTCTACAATCTGATTGATTACCTCTCTGAAACAATCATTTTTCGTTCTGCCATCAAAACATTTTGTGTGAGTAAAACTCCCACAAGCAGCATTTGGCGCAGACTCCTTACCTCTGCTTCTCCAGTGGCACCGTCGGGTCGACTCTGTCGGCGTCGCACATGAGCCCAGGGGAGGACGGCGGGGGAGGAGAGGACTTAAGGATCTTCTGGCTCCAGCTCTTTGGCCGGAGGCGCTGCTGGCGCACGGGGTGTGGGGGCTCGTCCTTGGTGGGGGAGGAACGCTCAGGGGCCTCAAACTGAACTGAGGAGAGACGGGGCAGAGAAGGAGGTTACATCACTGTGGGAGACGAACACCATGCTGTGTCATGGCCTGCTTGGCCCGTTCCTGCTTTTAGATATGCTGGATGGGCGTCTTGGGGGGGGGGGGGGGGGGGGGGGG